CCCAGTTTCAGTCTCAAATTCCTCTATTTTATCGCCTTTTTTGACAGGCATGTGTTCATTTCCTGCCATCATTTGTAGTAAGACTGCAATATTCTTTCAACGCCGGCTTCCTGATTTGAAACCTAAGCACACAGCCTAGCTCTGAGCCACGCTGTCCTGTAGAAGAAACAGCTGTTTGCATGAATCTTTAATGCACGCCCACACTGGCATGGCATCGAAGCAGATGAGAAATTGGAGGATCACCTCAATCCCTGATTTAAGCAGTTTCAAGTCCCCGCTGTTTCAGAATGTCAAACGTCTCATTTACTGGAGTGCTGCACTTAAAAATGTTAAAGGTTAGAAAAACAAAAACAGTAATAGCTCTTAAGCCTAAATGTGATGCAGACTTCCTTCAGCAGTCTGGAGTTTACGGGGGCAGAAAGTACAGAGACTCCCAAAACCACAAGAAAGTGCAAATCAGGATCTACTGTGGGGATGGGGAATATGTTTTAAATCCACATCCTCTTATAAAAGCCTTTGTTTTCACCATATCAGCAAGTATATTCTCACAAAACACATCAGGTCTGCTGCAGGACTTGAAACGCTGTAATCTGCTTCATCTGATTAAAAACAAATACTCAGAGATAATCACATATTGGGGCTGAAAATGGCACTTTGTTAAAAAGTGTAAGCAAAGAAATGCTCTTTTTTTAATTAGAGTGGTTTGTAATTAAAAAGAAGTTTGGTCAGCAGCCCCCCTTCACATCAGATAAGCCCTGTAGTGGAACGACAAAAACTGCAGAAACTGATATCCGGAGGTCCTAATTAGTCAGAGGTAACTTTTAAAACAATGAGTGGACACAGTGTTTACTTTGGTAATGTTTGAACTCGATCTCTTCTTCTTGTTTCCAGAGTTGAACTGTGATGGCTCAGCTGTTTGAAGGATAGAGGCAAACTTCTTACTTAGGCATCAACGGTTCCTTTAAGGATACTGAAAGAGGCGCTGCAGATCCCGAGTTTTGCTTCCAAAGATTTTTCTGCGATGACGATTTTTGACCTCAAATAAGGGGGGTTGATGGGGGTTGTCATTATAGACATTATATATGAAGACGCCTCATTAGGTGCAGTGTCGCTTCCATATTGGATGGGTCTTCTCACTCGAGGCTTGCACTACAACGTAGGATTAAATTTCACAAGTAAGGTTGAAAAATAATTTTGTTTATCTTTATTGTGTAATAATGTCTTGTATCATTGATACATGTCTGATGTTTGTAATAAACCAAAGTGTGTGAAAATCAGGTAAAAACTCGGGAAGTTACGATTAATATGGTTGGGAATTCCTGCCTACCTTAATAGAAATAAATGCACTTGGGACCTATCCAAGATGGCGGCCGCTCTGATACGTGAGCCCAAATAGGCAGCATCAGTCTATGAGACATCTATGTTTATTTTGAATATGGTTTTCATGACCAAGCAGCAAATTCCAGTCTTGAGAAGTGAAGCTGAATCAGAAGTGCTAAAAACTGCAGTTCCACTTGAGGCAACACCAGAAAACTACAGACACAGTGAGCTAAAACAACTGCATTTTTGGAATAAAAATAAACAAAAAAAGGAATAAACAAATGCCGCAAACTGGCCACCTTTGTTATCCATGTGCTATACAGCTACATTTTCAACTGAGCAGCAAAACTAGGCAGAACACCGGCTGCATGTTGCCACTGCCAGACATCAACCTGAAATGATTCCAGGTAAAAAACTTGGATGCTTCCAGCTCATCCAGGTAACTTCAGGAAATTTTCAGGTGCTTTGTGCATGCCTAAGGTAACAGAAGACAAATCCGCCTTTGGTAAATCAAACTCAACTTAAGTTGAAGTTTGGCGACCTGATGAAAATAATCAACATTATTGTGCACACGCTTGCCTCGGACCAAAGAAGCGTGTCATTTGTCTTGCACAGACTTCTGTTTAAATTGCACAACAACCCAACTTCATTACCAGAAATCATTTATGAAGTTTCCTTATGAGTTATTGAAAAAAGAAATGCAATTTCCTCTTAATTCCTGAGTCTACAAATAAACAGACATTGAAAAGTGGTGTTGGAAAGTTTATAACCACAATAACAGAGGTCTATATACAGCTGCACCGACAGCCAATAGCTCAGAGCCGCACATAATATTGAGGTGATGAATTGACTTCACCTGTGTGCAAACCAATAATCAGCGAGGCTGGCTGAGAAAGTTTAACGCTCCAGCATATTGGAAGAAAACACAACCCACACACACACATACACACACACTGCTGATCCGTAAGTGTGTTTTGTGGTCTTAATTTAGAGGGATATTTAGAGGTCCCTGTGGGTTTCTCGTCCGACCCAAAGAGTAAGTATTTCTCATCGTGTTCCAGCACTTTTATATTTGTCTGCAAAAAAAGCACTTTGGTGAAATAAGCCGAAGAGTCAACACCATAAGCTGGACACGCTGCCCTGCACAGAAGAGCAACACGGCTGTCAATATGGCTGCGGGTTTACAATTGTTGTGCTTGGCGACCGCTGCCTGTATCACACAAGTGTGAAAAGCAATAACACCAGCAAAGTGCAACTGTTGGCGGTCAATATTTTCTCTCCCTGATAAACCCTCCGGGCAGCAGCGTTCCCTCGTCTAGCCAACACAAACACAGCTTTGCAGTTTAAATCTGTCACAGTGTGTGAATATCAAGCCAGGAAGGGAAAAAAATATCTAAATATAAACCCTTGTCTTATACCCTTCTGCATTCTCACTTTCACAGAGGAATCATCCAAATGTGAAGTTTAAGGATTGCCTGAGATAAAGTCACGCTCCTCAGCGGTGTCAGCGGGGTTAAAAAGAACTCCCCGCTGAAAGCAAATTAGTCTTCACGGCTGCTCCGCTGCGACTTTGATTCAGTTTACCTTTTTCTCATGTCACTCCTCTGCGGGGGGAACGTTTTATGAAAAAGCAATCTGAGGCAGCGACTGTGAACCAGACACAGAAGTGTAAATCCAAAACAACACAGGAAAACAGAGAAGAAGAAAGAGGGAGGAAGGAGGAGGAAGAGGAAATACCTGGTAGGAGTCAGAAGTGTTTGCGTGAGAGAGTCTGCAGGTCGAGCTGGACGGGATGCATGAACACGTCTGCCTCTGAGGAGTCTGCGAAACAAAGAAGCGACATGCAAAGGTTAATTCACAGCTGTGCCTCATGTGATGATCACACATCATTTACATCATCTTATCCTATGCACCATTTACGTCTCACACTGCATGATCTATACGGCCCACAGTGATGCACACAGAGGGGCTTATGGGAAACATGACATTTACAAGTTTATCACCGTGATTAAAACATCTCTTAATGAAGCCTTGCAATCTAAAAGTTCTGCTCAAAGGGAAACACAGTGAGACGAAAACAGATTAAAAGACAAGATCAAAAAAGAGTTACAATGAATAGATGGAGAGCAGTGTGAATGTTGTTTTTGTTAAAGTCCTGATTTTTAGACCCTCTTTGAGTTGATGCAACAATGAAATCACGATATTTTAGCAGGTTAAACAAAGTCAAACTTAAACGTAACCAAATTTATGTTAGTGGGCACTAAATGGTCTAAAAAGTTGTCTTGTCGTCTCTTTGGTGCCAGAATACTGACTGTCACATGGACGTATATTTGAGTTTAACGTTCAGGGGAATATTGGATATTTCTGTAACTTAGTTGTCTCCTTTAGTCGTCGCCATAGCAATCAATGAAAAAAAAAAAAAAAGACAAAATAAACTTGCTAGCTGCATGCTAACATGCTAAGAGGTTTGTTTTGCCTTTAGCTAAGCCCTGCGTCTACACAGTCTATGGTGGTACCCAGAAACTAGCGATTGGTTATCTTACAAAAAGTCAAATCTACTGCTGGTGCCAAGAAAAATCTGAAACGGAAAAACTTGCTGCCATCCGCGGCCTTTACGATTGGAGGGAACAAAAGAGGCGACACTTATTTATGTGATTACTAACACATATAAAATGAAGGGTATCACACCTGATGAGGATCTGGGGAAAAGCTGTGTCCTCCCCAGTTAATTATGAGTATGTTTGATAAACTTAGAAAGAACATGTCTGATGTTTTCAGAGGTGGCAAAGCTCATGGAGTCAAGATTTTCAGTGGATGACCATCAACTTAAAAACGACTATATAACAATAACAAGTTACTGACAGTAGTCACAGGAACTTCAGGACGAGTGCAGCACAGTTTGGCTTAAATTCGTCACATATGGGACCAAAATAGCAAATTAAGTTCTAACCTTGAAGAAGTTATGGCTTAATTTTAGCATTTCCATGTAGGCAGCCACAGGAACAACTGATTTTTTAGCGTTGCCCAACAACGGCGTTCCTAACGCCAAGATTTTTCTGCACACAAATTCACCAGCTCCGTGTAAAGGTCGAATTTAAAACACATTTTCAGTCAAAATAACTAAATATCGTAAAGTTTTCTTTTCACCTACAGATTCTGACGCTATCGTAAAACTTGCTGATGGAAATTATGACTACAACAATGATTGAAATGAGATTCAAATGAAACTGGGCTCCACTGAATGATCTTTATGAAAACAACACAGGGAAATGAAAACTAACAAAATAAACCACAACTTTCTGTAAAATTGAGAATGGATTCAAACCTTACTGGGAAAAGAAGTGAAAACATGAAGGGAAGCGGATTTATCATGTAAAACACAGTTAAAAGAAAAAAAAACCTTTGAATGCATGAATAAAACAAAATCCATTTGATATCAAAAGTTAAATTAAAGATAAAAAAAGACATAAAAAGCAGAAAATAAATTAAAATAAGACCATTTCAAAGTAGTGCAGCAGCACCAAGCAAAGTTTCTGATAGAGTTTCTCAAAGAAAGCCACAGCTAGCTACAGGCTACAGTGGAGGAATAAAAGCATCCACACACACAAACACACACTCACACATATTAAGTTACTTCCAGTGACACAAACAATCAGTCAATGTGCCTCACTCTCTCTCACAGCAGCTGCACACTCTGCTTCCACGGCGCCTTACTTTTCCAAAACAGATCTCCAGAGCCCCCTGAGGAGGAAACCGCGCTCTGCCGGGGACGTCCAGGAACGCTAACTGTCGCCGTCTGACTGCATGCGCTCGCACTGACGGCTGTGACGGCGAAGGGGAAGGCTTGGCGCTCCCACACTGAGGCAGGGTAATTGGCTAGAGATGATGGGCCATAAACATACATCAGGGGGGCGGTGAAGCGCCGAGCAGACAGCTAACTAAGGCTCTCTTTGCTACAGCGTGGCTCCTGTTTGTTGTGCTCTCTCTCTCTCTCTCACACACACACACACCTCACTGTCTTTCCATCTCTGAATATTCACGCTCTTTGAACATGCACTCTTACCCACCATTATTACCACAGCGAGAGGGGAAAAACACAGTATTTCATGCAATTTATCACTATAAATCCATGATACCGCCCTCCACACGGACCTTTTCGCCACTTCTTTGGTATCATGACCTCGAGGATGCTCTCTGCTGCCATTATCTTCCACTGATATAGGCATTACCCATTTTAAAATGCACCATCACCAGAACAGATAGGATGCCCTCTCTCTCACCATTACTAGCACCAGACACAGTGGTGGATAATAGGCTATCCGTTCCTGCGGCGCTATCGCCACGCCGCAGACCTTCCCTCTATTACCATAACGCTCCTGTCATAATAAGCCGGGAGAGCCTTCCAGTCATGACCACAGCTCGCCTGGAGGAGGTCAGTCGTGTCAGATTGTTTGCGCACACACGGGTAATTGGGAGAAATAAGGCAGGGCGAAGGAAATAACACCGGAGCCCCTCTTTCTTCTCGGTTTTCTGTGCTGCTGAGCCATTTGATGTGTTTAAAAGGCGAGGAAATAATAAGAGACGTGGGGAACAGTGCCAGTTAATTTGGCCCACTCATGATGATGACGACGTATCATAACGGGTATTTCCTCTCTTTTTCTGCATCCTCTAATTCCGTGACATGCGATGAGGATTTCGCCAATAAGATCCACTTCATTCATCTAATCCTCTTTCCTTTTTTGGGTTCGCCAGATTTAGTTTGACAGGTCTTGCTTGACCGCTTTTTTTTACCCCCCCCCGTCAGTGACAAGCGGCCACCTAAAGACCCCCTCACTGTCTCAGCAGACTAGAACTTCAAGGGGAAGGGTAAAAGTGATAGCAGGGAGAGGGAGAGACAAGAGGGGGGTCCAGGCAATGCGCTCATTATTCAGGGAGACACTCGAGGCCACAGGAAATAGCACACTTCATTTTTCTTGTCAAACTCCGGCTGGCTTTAATGGCGTCTTCACAGCGAGTGGTGAGACAAAGGGATGGCGCGGACAGACCTGAGACGTGGAGGGTGTGCAGATAGAGATGGAGACCGTCAGCGTGGCAGCATCCACCGCATTTGCCTTAGAAGTTGAATACCTGAGCTGCTGAAGTAATTAAGTGAAGTTATTCATGTTTCAAATAATAAAACAACTCCAAATTTTTGTCTGGCCAAGAATAAGAATCTTTGCTCAGTGATCAACATTTTTTAGCTCCAACTGATTTATCTGACTTTAATCAGCTTGGCTGTTGTTGTAGCTGCTCGGTGGACATTTTTCCTCTGGTTTGAGGCATGACAAGATACCAGGAATGATCTTGTTAACGGTCTCGACACGACAAAAAAATATCAGCTGTTTAGACACTAGGATTTTTTCAAATTTCAGAAAACTTTGGGTCGTGTAACCGTCCCATCCCTACCTCTGTCTCACTTACAGTAGCCAAAGGAGTTCCTCAGGGGTCAGTCCTTGGACCACCTCGTTCATATTCAATCTCTAAATGACGTTTGCCAAAACGCTGAAAATGTAAATGATCATTTTTATGTCGATGACACTGTGATGTACTGCTCAGCACCCTTCAAACTGCTTTTGAAACCCTGAGATTAGATATCAGTTCAAACTGGGATCACTCGTGTTTAAGTCTGTTTCAAAATGACATTAACCAAAACGTTGAAAATGTAGAGGATCATTTTTATGCTGATGACAGTGTCATGTACTGCTCAGGCTCACACTTTTAAACCCAGAGAAAACAAAAACCTTCAACAACTCAGCCTTACTAGAGATATTTTGGTGTTTTAATTGATGAATCTCCGCTCTTCACTCCTGATATTGAGCAGCTGGTGAAAAGACTAAAATAAAAACTGAGGGTTATTGTAGAATCTGATTTTTTAGAGCACATACAGAGGCAGGTTGCTGCTTCTTCACCTCTGCGTTGGGCTCTGGTAATGCCTCATGCACGCCTCTTCTCTTTGTCGGACGCCTTGTCAGCCGTAGTGTTGTCTATCTTTATCTTGGACAAGACACTCTTGAAAACGAGGATTTAAGTGAAGGTTAAGTTAAAAAGGAAATGTAAGTTTGTCTCATATTTCAGAGAGAAAGTAGAGAATGCTTTGCTTTCAAAGAGGGAAATGAAATATTGTCTCAATTATACTCTAACAGTAGAGGGGCGCAGATGTTCCCATTGTTCCTCCCATCCCACATCCTCCTGAACCGTCCCTCATTATTGCCTTCATTACCGGTGCCATCGATACGGCAGGCGGCTGCCAAAAAACCTGGATGTATCCACAACTCATCATCCAAACAACAATTAATCATCCGCCCGGCAATTACACACCTTCCACAATACCTCTCATTGATTTTGAACACACACTGATGCTTTTTCTGTCCCACTTTCGCTCCAGACGCTCCTGTGAGCGAGGTTATAGCGAGCTGCAGGCCACGCACAGCAATCTCCTCCTGCTCTATATATCTGCTGGACTGGAACTGTGTTTTTGATCACCGAGATGATGGGGCAGGTGTTTCGGTACGGCTTCATGTCAGTGAAAGGCCTCGTTCCAATCTCCAGGCATGGCAGCAGGGCCGTGCTATCAGACAGTCTCTTTTGTTCAGCTCCTAATTGGGGTAATTTATTGTCCTAACAGGCGGAGCAGCTGTGGCTTTACAGCGTAGCACCAATTAAATCCAGATGCTAGCATGAAAGGATGGGTCTGAACGTGACTCGAGGACCAATCGCTAATATTAACTCGGATCTCTGAGAGGAGAATAAGACAAGCTGTGAGGAGAGAATCTTTTCAGCGCGCCGCCGTCACGCTGATATAGAAAATGGTGATGAGAAAACCGCCACAATCAGTTCTCAGGCATACGTTCAGCATTATTTCTGATAATGGATGCAATTACCTGTCAAAGCAAACAGCTAAATGAAATGAACTGCAGGGGACACCTCACAGCTAAGGTCTGAAGACTGCAATCATCAATCAATCTAGCAGACTTTTGTTCCAGTTTCACTGTTTTAAGAGGAGGATTCACGCCGCAAAATGGCTCCAACAGAGGATCAGGTGAATATGAGCAGAGGGTCAGGGGAATATGAGGGAGCGTCGAATAGAAATCAGGTCGCTGTGAAGATTTCTCCAGGGCAGGGATAACCCCGACATACTGTGCTTGGCCCGGCTGCCTCTTCAGCCCGGGCTCTTTAGACGAAGAGCCCCGGGGACAGACACAAATGTGAGTAACACAGAGGATGGAGGCACACTTGAGGTCACCACCTTGGAGCTGCAGCGAAACGAGGAACCGCGGATGCACAGCGACTCCTTGGGCCTGAAATTCAAAGTGAGAAAGAGGAGGAGTAATGAGACCATCCTGGCCGGGTCCTCCTGTTTTCGTTCATTAGTCTTGTCTGTGAGGTTTTAATGAAGTGTTTGTCCGCTCTGTCTCTGTTTACTCTTAATGGAGGATGTTTGTTGTTTCTCCGCCTAAACGACAAGCTGAACATCCTAATGACTTATATAATGTACATTTTTCACCTCCCCTGATGTGCTGCTTTGAATCTGTTTAAATGTCTGTTCTATCTTAATTCACTTAAGACATCCTAAAGTGTTAAAACGACACGGCTGCTGCTCGATACAAATGAGAGGAACATTACATTTGTACTTTTAAGGTATTTATAAGAGTGAACATAAAGTGAATGACTGAGTGTTTGTTTTGGCATGTTGCTGACGGACTTCTATAGATGATTAAAAGGCATCAATATGAATATCAGTCTTTTTCATAAACATCTAAAACCTTCTCGCAGGAAGTCTTTATATGGTAGACATCATATAACATCACACAGCAGCTACTCAACAGTCACTATAGACAACACAATAAACAGGATATTTTTAGACCCATGACAAACATCTGTGCCATCCCACATGGGATCACTAAACACTGCCAGAACAAAAGCATACATTCTCCAGCTGAAACCGTTGAATCATACTGTGTGAAAGCTACTTGTTTCCAAGAACTGCAGAATAGTCAACGGACCAGCTGTCGACACAAAAATAATATGTACATAGATGATGTGAAGCGACTGCCTGTGTTACTAAAGTAGAGCTGAAATGGTTTCTAAATTTACTTGATCAAGGGATTGAGGGGAGACAGAGCGTACAGCCTGATGCTCTTTGTCTTGATCTGCCCTCTTTGACCTTATATCTACTCTTCCCTCTGATTGCTCTCTTTCCTCTGCTCTCCTCCCTCATGAAAGCTGGGAGTTGAGGGGGAGGTCGAGCGTACAGCCAGAGTCCTAACAGACAACTCACCCTGACTCTAACATACGCACTCTCTTAGTATTATATTTGACTTTTAGCTCTGTCTTTCTTATTTCCTCTCTTTGCCTGTGGATATGCTGGCCAGTTAGGGCTGACATATGGCTGCGCTATTAATCAATTTTAAATCATATTCAGATTATTTGATTATGACGATGTTAAAAAAAAATCGTCAAATCGAGTTTCCTCTCTCTGTCTGATGGCGGTATCAAACCTTCCACACGGAAATTAATTCAGGAGTAAACGCAGAAGTTTTTTGTCATACGGACGTTTCATCCACATGGAAACGGCGTTTCAAGCACTGTAAGCGCTACTATTTGAAAATGGGTACCAGAGTGCATAGATCCATAAACGACTATGACTACCATTGTCTCTTGAAACGATCATGTGACACACCGCGTAACCCTTTTTGGCACCAGCACGTGCATTTCCTGTGCAGCGTTACAGCGCCACTTACTGGCTTGGCATATGCACTACAGCGTTTTCAGTGGTTTCGTTTTGAGAGATGATAAAAAACTTTGTATTTTAAAGTAGGGTTGGTGAAGTTGTCACTGAATAAAAAATCAAAATCTAAAATTTGTATTTTATTTCTGGCTAAAACCGTGCAGCCCTAGGCTGGCATAGATTGAACTAGTTCTGGGACACCTGAACAGTCATTTGTTTCATCTGTGGATGAGGGTGAAATGTTAAGCACATATCTTGGTCATTGGCCACAAGTATCTTGTATTTCTGAACATTATGAATTAATTCTGTAAATTAGTTCCAACCATGCACTCAGCATTATCTCAGCAAAATCTATCTGAGGTGCAGATCACTTTCTGACCTTTGAGGGGACTTTTCGTTTCCTTGCCCATAGGTCCAACACTCAAAGTAAGATTACAACAACTGCTCATGATTTTGCAATCCTGCCTATCAGAACTCGAGATACTTTTGTGCAAGTCCTGCACACAGAGAGTAGAGAAGACAGAGGCAAAGAGAGGTCACATGATCTTTTTCATGCATTGTCTCACTTGAGGGCATCTTCCTCTTATAATAAAAACAGGTAGAATATGATGGACTCGTACATCCCTGTAGCATTGTCCGGTGTGCCTTAAATGCTCTTCTGTATTCCTTCACTTTCATCAACATCCATTTTACTTGAAGCCCCAAAGACAATATGAAATACCTGTTTGCTGTAGCCTTGACAACAGCAGCTACGCTCCGTCTTCCCTGTGACCCTGTCTCCCCCTTATTCCCAGAGAAGGAGTTGAAATCTGTTTGAGAGCAAAGAGCTGTAAGCTGTGCGACTGCATGGCAGAAAACCTCTGTGCTTTATGAGGATAAAGAGCTCTGACCCAATTAGCCGTCTTTGTTAAATAAAACTCCACCGGCCCTCGTTTAAAACACCAAACACCCCCCCCACTACCTCGCTCCCCCTCCCCTCCTCTGCTTGTGTTTTTACAGCACAAAGTGATTACAGATTTAATTAGCTGAGGACCTTGCTTCAGGGAGACTCCTAAATCCATATTGATATTTCTGCAGAGTTCGGAGATAGAGGCCTGGGCTCTGCGGTGTTGACTTAGAAGGGAGGCTGAAGAAAAACATAATGAAAAGATGATTTGCAACTTTTCCCCACTCCTGTTTATTTTTCCCCCTGGAGGCTAATCATTCTGTAGCGGAGTGATGGTGGGAATTATGCAGAGAGCGAGGGGCTGATCAATGCTGACTTAATGCTACAGCCTTGGATGTAAACAGGTCTGCTGTCGAGTTCAGCAGCTTTTTCTGCTTTTGACATGTCAGGGTGTCCTTCTACTGCTAATATGTATCATCTGTCTGCATATTTGAATAATAATTGGATGACATTATAACATCGGGGCTGAAGCTTCGGTGTTTAACAGCACTTTTTTTAACCTGCTAATAACACACTGGTTGATAGAATTACACATACGTGGTTTCGGTTGTGCAAAATAATTGGCTACAAGTTACAGAGGAACTTTGTAAACAGCGATTAAATGGGACAAAATAATTGCAGTCAATCCTATTTTTTATGTTGCATGTAGAAATATGTTTGTGTTATTTGAAGGGGGGGGGGGTATCATGCTTTTCCACATTTACAACAAAAACTTTAAAGTTACAAAGTTTGGTGTCTATACTACATGTATGCAGTTTCAAATAACAAGGTAAACGTAAGTCTACAGTCAGCTGATCTTAAGTCAGCCCTCTGACAGCTTAGCTGATCGTCCTCCACACATCCTATTGGCAAATGTCAAAATGGCGCCCGATTTAAACTGCTTCTCCTACTTACTCTGCCTGCTGCAACCACTCTTTAACCCACCTCCATCCCAGCTCCTCCTGATTATATTGTGTCTGATCTTACCTGTGTATTGTCACTGATGCCTGCTTTGTTCTGTGGGGGGACTGTAAGTTATTTATCTTAATTTGATTAATTTGCTGCTGCATTCTCTGCCTTGGCTTTTCATGTAAGCACATGAAAGGGAGGGGAGGAGCTCTCCCCCTGTTATAGCCGTGTTATTCCATGCAAGCACATGGAAGGGCAGGGAACTTTCAGAACAGAGCCATACCACCAATGTAAAAATGTTTGCTTGTAATAAATAATTAATTTTGACTACAGTGGTCCTGAATGAACTCTAGTTTATGTGCGAGACTTACTTAAGTCTGACATAAGAATTGTAGTCTTCTCCGTACTGGTTTATGCGCCTCCAGCAAAGCAGAACAGTCTGACTCCAACAGCGTGTGAAGTGACACTCACAGCAAAGTGGGGTAACCATACAGATAGTATTCATACATATGCTGTATTAACGAATATGATGTATATGGGGGTAACGCCGCTGCTCAGCTGATTGACCACAACAGAGGGAGTAGGGCGAAAACATGAGCTCTCCCCTAAACTGGCTTCCGAAAAGGGGCGCCAGTCAGAAGAAAATGGGCTTCTGTGGGGGGGCCTTAAAGAGACAGCAACCAAAAATAAGGAGATTTTAAAACACCACTGTGAGAAATTTGAGGCTTTTTTAAAATCTGAAAATCTCCTAAAGCTGTTAAAGACGCATCAGAAAGTAAATATAGTTACATGTCACCAGTAAGCGTGTTAGCCACAAAGGAAGCGATACGAAAGCTAGGTTACAGTTTTCTACAGACTGAGCTGAGTCTCTAATTTTAAGGGGGAGTATTATACATTTTTTCAGACACTCTAAGAACCCTGCTTCAAGAATATTCAAAGATTTCTGCAGGTCTGCAAAACCACTTTTTCACATGGTGGTAGGAATCATCTACAAGAATGAATCTGGTTTATGAATACTTTATCTGTTAGGATTTCTGATGCCTTCTGGTTGTTTTGTTCTGCAGGTTGTGAAGAAAAAGTTGGTGAGAAGAGCTGAAGTTACAGTCGTATATGAATTTATGAATTCAGTAGAACAGATATCTGCAGCAAAACAGTTTATCTGAATGAAGAACTCAAATTGATGGAAAGTACAAATTTTCATCTCATCTTTAACCTGATTTGCTTTTATTTTGAAATTCCTACAGTTCGCCTTTTTCCACCGAGGTGCACCTGCGCGTCATCCTTCAATTTAAAGCAATGCAAGCAGGAAGCAGACAAACGCAAGCAGCCTTAATAAGGAGGATGAAGAAGAGCTATCCTCTCTCAGGAAGCAACAAAGTAGTATTCAGAGTTTGAGAGCAAATGTGGAAAACACAAGCAGTATGCAAACAATGTCACGGCAAGATGAAGTACCCAGGAAGCAGGAAAATACAGTGAAGTATGTGAAGAGAAACAGAGTATCCTGATGCTGCTGCTTCCTCAGGCCAAATATTACCCAGAAAAGTTAAATCAACTCCAAACGAACAGCAATCATAAATATAGATAGATAGAAGATATCTGCATTTTAACATGACCTCAAACTGAGGGGTCAGGAGACTGAGTTTTATAATCGAGTCAATGAAAAGTTGTTGAAAGTTTGTTTGGAAAGTTTTTCAAAAGTGAGAAAATCTGATATTTTTGCACCATAGATGACAAAGAAAAGCATTAAAATGTGAGGTATATAGATCAGTTCAGATAGCTATAAATTATAATGTC